ATGGGAGGTATCCAAGATGACACTAGTGGCAAGTTACTGAGCCAGGACCTGCACCAAGTTTTCTGGCTCTGAGTCTGGTTCTTTTTCCAGTGATTGCATTTAAACAGGAGGTCAGACTGGTGCAGCTAAAAATGGCTTGGGAACTCAACTCTGGCAAAGACATGTTATCAAGAGTCTTTCTAAAATATGATCTCATTTTGTATTTGTTTGGGGCCATAAAGAAATGGAAGGATTGAGACTATGATTTTTGGCACCCATCCCTTCCTCCAATTATATGTCTTAAGAACTAACAAAGCTTTCCCATTCACAGAACACAGCCAAGAAAAGATGAAGTTGTATGCTGAACACTGTTGGTAAATTAGAGGTCTCCAAAGCTGTGCTCCGACAAGCTTTAAACAACCACTCATCAAAAATGCACTGGATTTTGAATCCTTGGATGCTTCCTAAGAGCTCAATTGGCTCTTTAGCATCAGACACAAAAATCAATGACACACGTCTTTGAAGAAATAAAAGCCAAAACACTTTTAGCTCTGCCAAGTGAAGATTTTGCTGAAGTGTTCCTTGGAGTAAGGCTGATATTTAGCGTTCTTAAGTGAGCTTTTAAGCCCTGGTGCAATATAAATACATGTAACTTAGTGGTTGGTGACCAGAGATCCCCTTCATCTCTGTGCCTCTACCCTCCCTCCATTCTGTATTATGACTAAATGGCCTCTAACAAATCCTATCAGTTTATAAGGCCTAGTAAGTATAAATTTCACTTACAGGAGCCAACAACATGTCAGTGGCTTTTTGGTGGGTCAACATCTGAGTTGATGATCTCTTAAAAACTATAAAGAGTTATAAAGAAAGGAAAAAATTTCCCAAGGGTAAGTGATGTAATGTTATGGACTGAATTGTCTTCCCCTCGAATTCATATGTGGAAGCCCTAGTCCCCAGTGTATTTGGAAATGGGGCCTTTGGAAGGCAATTCAGTTTAGATGGGGTCATGAGGGAGGGGCCTTCATGATGCAATTAGTGCCCTTATAAGAAGAGATGCCAAGCAATTGGACTCCTGCTCCTGTCTCTCCACCTGCCTGCCCTGAGAGAAGGCCATGCGAGGACATAGCGGGAAGGCTGCTGTCTGCAGCCCCAGGGTACAGTCCTTGCCAGACCTGAGCCTGCTGACACCTTGGTCTTGGGACTTCCAGTCTCCAGGACTGTGAGAAATAAATTCCTGTTATTTAAACCATCAACTCTAAATTTTGTTATGTCAGCTGCATTAAATAAGGTGTGTGATGTAGTGTAAAGGGATAAAATTTAGCACCAAAAAACCTGGCTCACCTCTTTTCCTTGCTTGACCTCGCTGCCCTCCATTTCCTTATCTGTAGAATGGAAAAATATGAACACCTCCCCTCACTCCCAATATCACCAGGTTGTGGGAATTCAGGGACAGGAGGTTTATGAAAGTGCTTTGCAAACTGCCAAAAGAATTGCCATTTTGCTTTTTTCATGAAGATCCTTAGTTTCATGATTCAAATGACGTGGTGCTGGGAATCTACCACTAAGGTGAAATCCAAAAATTGTATAGAAAAAAATAAAAATGAAGAAAGAAGTAGGTTAGGAGCACTACAAAATTATTTTGTTTAAAGATGCTGTAGGGTTGAACACATCCATGCTAATTGTTTTAAGTGAATTTTTGTGGTTTGGTTGTTTTTCAAAGAATCTGTCAGCTTTCAAAATTTTGTTTGAGCTCCTTTGTTAGAACTCATGAAAAATTATTGTAATTCTATTCGTTCATATTATATGATTATTTTATATTTTATAGTATTTATATATTTTATCTTCCATAGTATTTCCTATGATATTTGGGGGCTAATTAAATATACAGAATCTGACAAATAATTGGCAAAGTAGAGAACTAAAATAATTTGGCCTGAAGTTAAAAAATACCTATTTTTCAGGCTTGAACTTATCCTATATTATCACAAATGGCACCTGGCCGCAGCATGAGATTCTGTAGCCCAGCTCTTATGGGCGTTTTTTTCTGACTTTTTTTAAGTGTTTTATTTTAGAGCAGATTTAGATTTATAGAAAAATTGTGGTTAGTTCGCAGAGTTTCAATAAACCCACACCTGGCTTCCCATTATTAACATCTTAACATTAGTATGGTATATCTGCCACATAAGTAAGCCAATGTTGGTACCTTACCACTATCTAACGTTTATACTTTATTCAGGTTTCTTTAGTTTTTACCTACCTTTCTTTTTCAATTCCAGGCCACCACATCACATTTAGTCATCACGTTTCTGTAAGGTTCTCTTGGCTGTGACTGTTTCTCAGACTTCGCTTGGTTTTGATGACTTTGACCGTTTCAAGGAGTACTGATCAGGTATTTTGTAGAATATCTGTCAGCTGGGATTGGGAAGACTCAAGTAGACATTTTAATTACTTGAATTTGGGGATATTCTGGAGGAGAGTCAGATAATTCTCTGACATATGGAAAAATATTTTGGCCTAAAGCAGCCTCATTCACAGTTAGCAAAGTGCTACAAATACAAGAGAATCTTCCAGCAAAGTCTATTCTTTTCCTCATAGGCTGAACCAATCCCAGCATGTACTGGGTTGCCATAGGTCTGTACACTATCTTTAATCCTTTCTTTTTGAAGATTTTCAATACAATCTTCCTACTAAGTCTCCTGTGGGGAAAAAGACTTCCTCCTTTTTAATGGAATTTAATAAGAAAGCAGTATTCATTTTACAAAAATCCCTTTATAAGCAACATTATTGAACTGCATTAGATATCTAAAAACTTCATGCCATCCTGAACATAAGTGTGTGACTAAGGACATGGGATTTACGTGTGGAAGAGAAGCCTTGTAACTGCTGCTGACAAGGATTCCTTTACCAGAAGAGTCAAACGAATGGAGTCTCTGTGACACCAAGCACCTGGGATGCTATTAAAAATGGAGTGGCAGCTGCCGTATGCAGAGCTAGGTCAATTCGGACAGGCTGATGCTGCAACTCAGGAGAACCAAGTTTGAATTTGAGTCTAAGAAACTAGAGAAATCCTGAAATACTCCTCCCAAGAATTAACTACCTTATTTTATTTTCCATAAAGACTATGCTAGTTAGTAAAAGGGGAAACAATTTTCCAAATATAGAAAAAAATGTAAACATTATATAATACACACCATATGTTCTGTCTGCACTTTTTTTTTTTACAGTTGACAAAAATGCTTTAAAGTCTGTGAGTGTTTAGCTATTTGATTCTTTTATAACCCCACGGCAATCTTTATGATGATTTTACTCTGTGCAGGTGCAACAATAATAGCTCATGTTTACTTAGAGTTTATCTGTGTTCTATATATTCTATCCTATTTATTCCTATCTGTTGTAGAAACTCACTGTCCTCTTCTATAAATGAGGAAATTGAAGCTGAGAGAAGTTAAATAGCTTGCTTAAGAATGCACAAAGTCAGAATTTGAATTCAAGGCAAGGACTTTTTGACTCCAAAGTCTGCTCCTACTAGTTAAGCTATCTTTATGTTAATAATTTATTTCAAAATGCCATCTGTGAGAGCAAGGGTCTTGTCCTTTCTTGTCTTAATAGTTGGGGCTTCATAATTCATTTCTATCCACACGGCAAATGTTTAGTAATATTTGAAAACAAGGGAGAGTAGGATACATTATTACTACTAATTACTCTTGTCAAGGTAAAAAAAAAAAATCAATTTGTCTCATCCTAATTGACTTGAAGGCCAACAGTAGGATAAGGGAAGGCCAGCCATTCAGCAATCCTGCTACCTGGAACCAGAGCAAGAGTGGCTGATTCTCATGTTATAAAACACAGTGTGTTAAGAGAAAATTTGAGGTATAAGAATGCCAACAGATCAGGAGATGTTCAACATTGAAAAGATAATTTGTTCCCAAGAGGAGCAGACAGGCCACGCCTCCAGGGGCCACACTGGGAAGTACTATGGTTGGCAGGAGGCAGAGGGAAAGGGAAGAACTATGGGCGAGAGCCTTTCCTGTGGTTTCCACAGGAAGGAATGGGTGAGCAGGCTCAGGACTGGCTAGTTTGAATAATTTCACAAGGCTCTGGGATATAGGGGCTGTGCCTGGTTGTCTGGTACCTGGCCCTGGGGTGATTAGGGCAGGTGTAATGTGATAACTTGATAGAGAAGGTGGCTGGGGTATGGGCTCTGGATTGATTGGTTTGTATTTGAAAAGACTTGTGGGCAAATTGTATACTGTCTCCAGGAACTGGCTAACCCTGAGGTGTAGTCCCCCCAGGGTCGGCAAGACCCTAAGATGTCTAAACATCAGAATACAGGAAACGAAAGATAGTTAACACACTCCAGCTAGAGGATTTTGGCCAATGTAACGGGAAAGGCATACAAATCTGCCCATTAGCCAGGAAGACATATACAGAGCTAATTCAGCTATAAAGAACTGAGGTGGGTCTTGATGGCCTGTGAGAGAACCCCTCACATGTAGAGGCAAAACAAAAAAGGCAAAAGGCAAAAGGCAATGACAACTGGAAGATCAAAAGCAACTACTGGGGCCTAGATCATCTGGGAGCCTTTGAAGACTTGTCACAAGCTGCTGCTTCGCTCTTTACAAGAGGGCAAATCCCACCCACGGAAGGCTTAGTGTCCACCACACATCATACCGTAGACTGGCGACTATTGCTTTTAAATCCATTTCATTAGCAAGCCGCATTCTGCAGCGTAGTGTATGTAGTGCGCGCACACACACACACACACACACGGGAACAGGCACATAGCGATCATTTGCCTGAATGCGAGCTCCGCATCAGACACCACCGCCCCTCCCGCCAACACGCTCCACACCGCACATTCCCCAGCGTCTGCGTTAGTGGGTCTAAGCTGACCCAGCCGAGTGGGCCTTTTTGTTTTTCTCCAAAGCTCTGAAATACATTAAGACAAAGTAAAGCTAGACCTGCCTATTTTGACCTCAGAGCTTCTTTAATACCAGAAGCAGTATTTTCAAATCCCAGAGTGCTGTTTTCTTCGTAGTCATGGCAAAATCAAATACCACATTGTCTCAAGTTTCAGCCAACACTTTATTCTCACTGATGTCTCAAAACCGTCGGAAGCCAAAGCCTGATCAAGTCCTTTGGCAAGAAATGTGGGCGTTTGAAAAAAAGAAGGAAGGCGTTGGATATGAGGATATGAGCTTCCATTAACAGTATTTTTGAGGTTTTTTCCTTGGTAAAGTCTCCAACCGAACTTGAATAAATTAGGCACAGTGTCGATAGAAGTAAAAGAAGTAATCTGTAAAGAATATCCCAGCAAAATAAGGATCCGTTGAACAGTCAGCTAAATCCTGTCAGAACAGGAGGGGGAAAAATGATTAATGTAAAAATTGACTGTAGTTAAAGTGTATTTATTTATTTATTTATTTAGTGGTTTGGGTTTTTTCCTCGCTAAAAAGAAAAATTTTAAATTAAAATTTAAAAAAGCTTACCGGTGCAGCAACACGGAAATGGTACGCGCTATCAAAGAATGGGGCTACAGGGAGACTCCAAATGTGCTGGTACCCCTAAATGATGAATGAAAGAGAGAGCCACTTCATAACCACATTTTACACTTAACTGGAAAGAGTATAGGATGAGAAAGCATTCCCTTGCCTACTGCCAATTTGTCAATTTTCCTTGACAACAGCTTTTGACAAGGATTGCTAGAGCAGCCTGCAGCTTCCGAAGGAGGCACAGAGAGATGCTGAGCAAAGCCCGAGGACCAGGGTCAGACAGCAAGGGGAAACCCTGGCATGTGGCTCCAGGCATCTCTCTTTAGTAGGGAGCAGAGCCTGCACCACAATCCTACACACACTTCCCCTGGAACAGGGATGCAATGCCCAGGAGCCAGAAAACATTACCTGTGTCATCTCCTGGGAGATCTCTTGGTGGTTCTGCAACCCTTTGGCTTCTCTTTTCCTCTGGAAACATATATTTCCAAGAGTGAATTTGCATTGGAAGACTATCAATGGCTCTGTTGTGCTTCAAAAGACAAAGGAAAGAAAGGGTAAATGGAAAAGCAGTTACCACCCCCTACCAGGCTACACTTTAATAAGAAGAGGGACCAGTGCTCTCTTTGGCAGCACATATAATAAAATTAGAACGATACATAGTAGATTAACATGACACCTAAAAAAAAAAGAAGAGAGGAAACATAATGGGAACATAACTTTGAATTCCATTCAAAGCTCCAGAAAAGCATTTTATTACACAAAGCTCACTGATGCCAGTATGCTAGAGCACATCTCATTATTACAGAAGGAAACTCAATCTCAGGTGACTACTGCTATGGACACACTGTGTGTGTCCTCCCAAATTCAGATATTGAAATCCTAAGCTCCAGTGTAATGGTGTTAGGAGGTAGAGCCTTTGGTGATTAGGTCAGAGGGTGGAGTGAAATTGGTGCCCTTATAAAAAGGACCTGAGAGAGTGCACTCACTCCTCTGTCCTGTGAAGACACAGAGAGATGACCATCTATGAACCAGGCAGCTGACCCTCACCAGACACCAAATCTGCTGGTGCCTTGACTTTGGACTATTCAACCTCCAGAAGTGCAAAAAATAAATGTTTGCTGTTTAAGCCACCCTGTCTACGGTATTTTTGTTATAGCAGCTCAAACTGACTAAGACAGCTACTGAGATAGCATATGGCAGTCTCTAAAACTTAATCCCATGATTTAAATTACCTCAACATCAGAATTTCTTCTCCCCATAGATTTTAAAATAATTTGGGGCTATATTCCTTCTCTTTTCACTGCAGCTAAATTTGCATCTATCTGAAGTTTCCAGGATTTCAGATTCTGCAAAATCCCATCTGGATAGATTTTATTTGAAGCAGCAAGGCTAACAAATACAGGTAAAGTCGTAGGGGTGAGACTCATTGGAAATGACCAGCCTTTTAAGCTATCAGAATGGGAGGCCTGCCAGAAAGAATGGCTCTTCTCTGGAGGCTGGCCCATTAATCATCACCGAGAGGATGAGATTCATCTGTGTTTGGAAACGATCTTTTTGCACAAGTGAGACAGACAACCTATAATCTCAGTTGAGTGTCTGTGTTATTTTAAAATCACCCATATTAGAAAAATGATCAATTGAGTGGCTCAAGATGGATCTTCTGGCACTTCAGGGGATATACCATTTAAGCTTATTTCCCTCCACCGAAGCTAGGAATGAATAAGGAAATGCTATATTGGGTTACTCAGGGAGTGCTAGAGAGTGCAGTGAATTTAGTTTGTAAATTTAGCTTTTGATCTGCCTTAAATCTGGTGGGTTCTGAGCCATGAAATATTAGGTGCTTGAAACAAACCTCCAAAGCAAGCAGTTGAGTAAGAGTCATTGGCTCATTGTAGAAGCAGAGTTGATGAGAGAAGGCGTTTGAAGTCTGAAGGAAACAGAGGAAGAGACAGTGGGGAAACATGATCGAGGAGGAACAACAGATTTGGGGAAGCAGAGGGAGCGAGGGGACGACAGAGGAAAGGTAAAGGGAAAAGGAAGAGGAGAGGAAATGTGGAGGGAGGAGAAAAGGAGAGACTAAAATCAAGAGACACAAAATGAAAACCATCTATCTTCATGGAAAGAGGTAGCTTATTGCATTTTGAGCCAAGTGGGTCAAAAGTCTTAAAGTGCTATAATTAGTTAAATTGATAAGAATAGATTAGAGTTTTGTGATTTTGGAGGAAAGGCAGTCATGATAAAATCCACCATTTATTGAGTGCCTACTATGTGCCAGGGAGGGGCAATGTTCTTACATATGGCATCTCATTGGGAAGGCAGGAAAGAGTGGTTAAAAAAATGGGCTGAGTTTGAAGCCTGGCTTCACCTCTTATGAGCTCTGAATTTTTTGATGTTGTTTTTTTTTGTAAATCTTCACCAGAGGATATATTTTCCTTTGCTTTTGAGAGAGAGCAGAAGGGAAAGAGAGAGAGAGAGAAACACTGATGTGAGAGAGACACATGAACTGGTTGCCTTCCCCACGAGCCCCAACCAGGGCCAGAGATGGAGCCTGCAACAGAGGTATGCGCCCTTGGCTGAAATCAAACCTGGGGCCCTTTAGTCCACAGGCCAACACTCTAACCACTGAGCCAAGCTGGCTAGGGCTGTGATGGGTTTTTTTGATCTCCTGAAACCTAAATGTTCCCATCTGAAAACTAGAAACTAGAAAAAACAATACCAACCTTGGAGGGTTACTTTGAGGATTATGTGACCCAATACTAAAGGGTAGAGTGTCTGGCTTATAGTCTGTGCTCAGCAAATGGAAACGATCTTTTTGCACAAGTGGGACAGACAAATGGTAGTTATTAATTTCACTATTAATAATAGTGATTCCCCCCGCAGCACCAGTTGTTATGGTATAATGTCAAACTCATTTTATAGATGAGTAAACAGGAGCTCAGAGAGGATAAGTGGTGTCTTCAAGATTACAGAATTAGTAAATGACAGAGACAAATCTGAACCCTGGTCTGCCCAATTCCAAACTCTGACTCCTTTTTAAAACTCCCCTGGGGAAAGCAGGTGGTGTCTACGTTAGCACTGCTATCAGGAGCTCACAAAAATGTGCAGTCCCCCCACCCAGGGCCATGCTATCACTTATGTTCCCACCCAACTCAAAGGAATACAGCCCGGGACAGTCTGCAGCTTGTGAGCGAGCATCCAACCCAAGGTCACTGCCACTTTTTAGGTGTGAGTGTACAGCCCAGAGCCTTTTCAGACACCTGGAGGGAGGGAGCCATGAAGATCCCAGACTTCATTTTGAAAACCCCTTTCCCAAGCTGTTCCACCTTTTAACCAAATCGTCACTGGGCAACAGGGACTGATAAGTTTCCACCTCCTGACTTACTGATCAAATTGTAAAATGAATTCAGGCTGGCTATTCAAATAAAAAAAAAAAAAAAAAAAAAAAATGGAATTGTTTTTCACAGGTATGCACTTACTTTATTTCCAGAGAGAATTTGACATTGGTGGGTGTGTGCTTATTGACAGGAATATTGTAATTGTAATTTCCAGACCTAATTATAAACAAATAAAACCACAAATCAAAATATGCAGGAAATGTTTCAAAAGGCTTTGGGTTATGCATTATATACTATATAAAGTAAAACACTCTATAATAAATACATAAAACCAAATTTAACATGGTATTTTTATGTTTTTCAGAGACATATCTGTCAAATTGCAAAGTGATTTCTTTTAGGTCTTAATATGTAAAATATACCACAAAGATTTTAGTTTGTTAGAACACACAGCCAAAGTGATGGAAAGTCAAATCCCAGGCCAAATGCACAAAGCTAAACACACAGGAAATGACTTCAGTTCCCCCACGAGATACAGACAAATGAGGCAAAGGCCTCAAACTAACAATCCCTCTGGAAGGAGGATTGAACATAATAAACACCAACTTTTCTACTGTAAATCACTCCCTTTTAGGAAACATAAGCAGGAAATATTATGCACTTTCAGAACTTGAACCAACTGAAATAATTATAGTCCTAATTACCACTTAGTAATGGAGATAATTGCAAGACAAAAATGCTTATACAGAGATTCCTTCCCCCTCCCCTTTCAGAGAGAAACTGGGGAAAAGTGGGAGTTCCTTTGATTTCATACTGAAATGAAAACTCTATAGCAAAAAGGCACATCGTATGTAAGTTCTTATGACCTGGCCGTCTTTTATTTTATCCAACCCAAGCCCTCTGGAGGGAAGGAGGATTATTTTTTTTTAGTCTGCACCCAAGGACATGCTTAGAGAAAGGAAGGGAGAGGGAGAGAGAGAGAGAGAGAAAGAGAGAGAGAGAGAGAGACAATAATTGGTTGCCTTGCATATGATCCTCAACTGGGGATCAAACCTGCAGCCCAGGCATATGCCCTGACCGGGATCGAACCAGCAACCTTTCCGTGCACATGACGACACTCAACCAATTGAGCTATGCAAGCAGAGCAAGACCTGCCCATCTTTTAAATTATATATACAAACAACTTAAGACCAGGTAAATGGGAAAAATAGCCAGTCATTTTAGATTCTCTGTAATGAATACTAAAGTAAGTTGTTAAAAATGAGAATGCAAAAATAAAGGAAATAGATCTGCACTGGGATCGGGAGAACTTTGTTCAACTACAGGAAATGTAAATAAATGGAATTCATTTCCTATCCCATGACTCCCAACCTCTGTACACTTCATGGCAACCCAACTCAGTAGATGGGAAAGGGAAACGCAGGGAGAATAAACATCTTGTCAAAGTTCTGGACTTTAAACCTGAATCACCTTACTCTTCTTCATTATATCACCCTACCACATTCATTAATGTCTATCTCTGGCTTTTTCAAGTTTACTGAACCTCAGGTTCCTTAACGACAAAATGGGAATAAATAATACCACCCCACAGGGACCTTTGAGAATTCAATGAGGTAGTACATGTAGAGGTCATAAACAAATCTTAAAGCACAGTTTATTTTTCAAACTTAGGACCATCAACTTGCAGCCTAAATTATATCCAGTTGAAAAGGCATAAGGTTATACTTATAAGAATTCACAGGATTTGTGACACTAGTTTAAAAACATAGAGCTTTGTCTTTAACCTAGCAGGCACTGGTAAATATTTAGCAAAGAAAGAAAAACAACTCCCATTCTTAATACCTACAACTTGTGTATGGTGCTTGCTGAGGCCACCTGCTCTCAATGCTTCTAGACCTGTCATTACCCCCACACGGGGGATCACAGCCTACACTAGAGATGGATGCTGCTGATACCTTTTTCAGTACATAGATTTTTTTCCCCCTCCTAGCTGAAGAAGCTAAGATAAGCTGTATTTTTTCAGCAATTAAAATAATGATGTCCCTTGTTATTTAAATACGCAAATGCCAGCTCACTCATAACTTGAAGCCATCAGTAACAATGTCTGTCTTGTCTGTAAAATTAACTAGCAGCCCCTCAGCTCTGGTTTGTTCCCTCAGAGAGTCAGCCACAGGGCTGCCACGAAGCTTTCTGCTTGGTCGTACCCATTAAACCAGGAGACTGGGATCACTGGAGCCGTGGTTTATTGACATTTGCTAATACCAACCGTTTTATGACTCCCCCTTCCACCATGTAACGAATGTGTTTTCACTTAAGGAGCAATGTAAGCACACATTGATTTTACCATGTAGCCTTAGCTTTTATTCAAAAACCCAGAGCCCTGAGTAAATTCCAGAAACAACTGGGGTGTAGTGGGGAGGCTTACCCACCCGCACTGGAGGCTTCTACTGCAATAACGATGATCTATTATTTGCTGGATTTCCATAATCTGAATAGAACTGATGGTTGTATCGATCCCTGGATTGAGGAGAAATAGAGAAAAGAAAGTAAACCCTTCTGAAGAGGAGAAAAGGATTGTGCTTCAGCACAGTGTCCAAATTTCAGGATGTAAAATAAGAGTTTTCTAGTTCAATGGATTTCATTTGCATTCAAATGGAAAAGGGAGAAGGAAAGAGATAAGGCACTTTTGTTGTTGTTATAGTAAATTTTAAGAAAACTAAAAAATCCCCCAGGTTCCAATAGATAGCCTCATAATATCCAAAAGAATTTCTGGACCCTGAAAGTCCTACTAAGTTGACATTTATTGAAAATGCTTTAAAAAGTAAAAACACAACAGAAAACAAACTAAAAATATCATCAGAAAAACAGAAGCAGATGGTAGGAAGTTCAAATGAATTCTTAAACTCCATGGAGGTCAACCACCACCTGCCTAGTGGTGAGCGACCATGCCTACTGCCCCCTTAACGGTTAGGCTGGCTGTGATTATGAAAATGTAATGTTGTGGGTGTTTGTGGCAGGGTGCAGCCTTTGTCCCTGTTCCTCACATAACTACAGCCTGTAGTCACTTTGCCCGGCTCCACAAGTCAAAGAAAGAGTCGCTTAAATTTAAACTTACAGTCATTCCCCCAGTCGGGGCTGGTTAGCGCATCTCCTCCCAGGAATGATGTGCTTCTGTCTTCTGAAGAGGAAAAAAGTCTGTCAGTTTTGTGTTTTTTTAATTGATTTTTAGAAGAAGAGGAAGGGAGAGAAACATTGATGTGAAAGCAAAACACTGATCGGCTGCTACTGCATGCCCCCTACTGGGGACACAAACCAGGCATGTGCCCTGACTGGTTCAACTCCGACAACTGGCAATCTTCTGGTGCACAGGGAACATGCCCAAACCACTGAGCCACACCAACCAGGGCAAGTCTGTCAGCCTTTAAGGCTTGTTCAGGATGGGAAGAAACCCAGTGTGGGCCCTAGTTTGTCTCTGTCAATTGAATGTTCCCCCACCCTTTCTCTCTCCCACCTCTCAGCTCATCACATTCCTATCACATTTTTAAAATATATATATATTTTTATTGATTTCAGAGAGAGGAAGGGAGAGAGGGGGAGAGAGATAGAAACATCAATGATGAGAGAGTCATTGATCGGCTGCCTCCTGCACGCCCCTGACTGTGGACCAAGCCTGCAACCCGGGCATGTGCCCTGACCGGGAATCGAACCGTGATCTCCTGGATCCTAGGCCGACACTCAACTGCTGAGCCACGCCGGGCCGGGCCCTATCACATTGTTTACAGTAGACTCTCACCCTTCTCCAAGAAGTTATCTGCTTTGAGCTAAACTGTGTCTCCCAAACTCTCATATATAAAATCCTAGTCCCTAGTACCTCAGAAGGTGACTGTATTTGTAAGCAAGGCCTTTGAAGATGTAATTAAGTTACAGTGAGGCTGTGAGGGTGAGTCCTAATCCAATTTGACTTCGATTCCCGTAGAAAGAGGCGACTAGGACAAAGAGCGTGTATGCACAGGGGAGAGACCTGGTAAGGGCAGGAAGAGAAGCAGCCGTCTGTGAGCCAAGGAGAGAGGCCGCAGAAGAAACCAGACCTGCTAACACCTTGACCTGGGACTGCTAGCCTCCAAAACTGTGAGACACTGTATTTCTGCTGTTTAAGTCACAGTAGTTTGTTATGACAGTCCTAGCAGGCTGAGACACTGTCCCAGATTATATCAATGCAGCTCATTGCTCCCCCTTTCTAATGCCATAGCATTTGTTATGAATCTTCTATGTGGTGATCAATCAGTGGTATATCTGTCACTATCCCAAAGCACATGTTATCTCTATTATTATTTAACTTTTCATGTATTTTTGCCCTCTCTTGACAGCTCCACAATAGGTAACCTCTGTTAACAATCTTTGAATCCTCTGTATCTCCTGCATAATGTGATCCACACAGAAATAAACTGAGCTTAAGGTAAGGACTGAGCTACAGCCAACTGAGGAGAGAAATCAGATCACTGGTGTGGAGCCAGAACTTGCCTGTGGAAAAGGAAGCCGGGGAAGTGGTTATGATCCATCATAACCAAAAAGGCACTTCAAATGTAGTTCTGAAAAGGTAACCATTCAGATGATTGTTGTTAAGGCTATGGGGGAAAAAATATCTTTTTAAAGTGGATAGTGAAAGCAATCATTTAGTGGGTTTCTAAATAAATCTAACAGAGAATTTTAAAATTTTTGCAGCCTGTATTTTTTTTAATTTGAAATTTTTTCCCAAGTATTTGTACTCTTTATTGCATTCCTTCATTTGCATTCAACAGTATAGTGGTTTTTTTAAATATAGTTTTGGACAAAACACAAAGACATTAACCTAATTTAACAAGAGATATAAATTCATAAAAAGAGGCCCAATCTAAAACAAGTTTCTGCATGGAATTTCAGGATAAAAAGCAAACGCAACGGTGGACATCACTTGGGGCAACCACTCCTAAGTCTCTCTGTCCTGGTTAGTGTTTCCCACACTAGGCGGATGGGCTGCTTTACTTGTTGTTCACCTAACTGCGAGCTTCTGGAAGACTGCATCTTGCTTACTGTTGCATCCCCACATAAGGCAAGGCCAGGCTCAACTGCAGGTGCTCGGTCAGTATTTGCGGAAGGAAGAGAGACAGGAGTGAAAAGAGACGAAGGAAGGTCAATCAAATACCCTCTAGAAAAGTGTTTCCCCTCGCACACTCAAAGGGGAAATTCCCAGGAGGTGGGTGTAGAGGGATGTTAGAAATGGATGTGGGAAGCTGAGCTCTTTCACCTTATTAGCAATGGGAGTGAGACAGAACTTAAAGGCAAGGCAAGTATCCTGAGCATCCCTCCCAACATGATGCTTTCCATGAAGAAGAAATTATCTTGATAGTTGAGGATTTTCTAGAAAATTGAATATCTATTTCCCTTTAGATATAAATATATGTGCTATCTAAAAAGGCCTCCAGACTGCTTGGATTCCAGCTATTCCAATAATAATTTTCAAGCACATGTCTCTTGCTGTAAGTTTTGCTAGTGTTTGCTTCTACAGAAGGCTGCAAATTCACTAGGCAAATGAGGCAGAAAGAGAAAGGGAAACTAGAATTCTCCATCCCTCTGTTTTCTTCCCCTACCTTTTGTTCTACTTTCCTGTTGAATTTGCAGGAAAGGGACTCATTATAAATTCTATAAATAGAACTACAGAGTTACCTCACTTTAATGGAAGGAATTTTCAGGTTTCTGAAGACTAGAACTCAATGATAGGATTTAGTATCTGATAACAGTATTTTTTTTACTGCAATAAAAAGGTGAGGGTAAGGAGAGATCATCTTGCAAATTTAGAATTACAAAAATGATTTTTGAAAAGCAGGATGGGAAATACCAAATTTTAAATCTCCTGTAAAACACCTTCAATTTGTCACTTCTCTAAGGCAAAACTATTCAATTCTGAAAGGTGGGTTATTGAACAAACGTATTTTCCTGTTGTGATACATGGGTGACTCTCATCTTACAAATGCTTTCCAGCAATATTCACTTTAAACTTAATATATATTCCCAGTGGCTATCATTGTAAAATGGAAGATATATTTCATAATCAGTGGATAAGATCTCTCAATAAGCTAAATTGGAAACTTCTGGAGAGGAGAGGTTTACCGAAGCATATCCTGTTGTGGTAGAATGTGCATATTGCACTATTTGTTAAACTGTGCAGATGGCTGAGCTCCAATACAGCATCTTGAATACCAATTCCTTTCTTAATTGAACTAGACTCATGCTAAGAAAAAAAGTCTATGAACCCCACCAATCAATGGCTGAGTCCTTTAACACAGGGAACCATTTTCTTTTGGCCATTTGCTCTTGCAGTTCTTGTCTTCAAAACAAAATAAGCATGAATTCCAGATGCCTTTTTGCTTCTTGAGATTTTTAAAAAATCTTTACCAAATTTCTATAAATCTGTAGAATTTCATAAATCCCACCCCCTTCCACTCTTTACTTTTTAACATCTAACTCTGCTGTCTATTTAAATCTTTTTAATTCCATAGAATAAAATCTAGTCCACTATATTTGTGGTAGGCAGTTAGACAGACTGCCTAACGGAGCAACGACTATAGGCCAGGTACAGAAGGTCACCAGGGTTGAAAGCCCCAGGTGCCTAGCAATGAACAAAACTGAGAAAACAAGGACCTCACCTCCAGGTGACCTTTCCTCTCCCAGCAGATCTCTGGTCATGTGGTTTAGACCCCCTGACCTTTCATAGCTCTTGTCCTGCAGTTTAGACCTTTCCCTGACCTTTCCTCCCCTGACCTTTCCTCCCCTGGCATGGTGCCAGTCATGCAGGTTAGACACCCCCCCTTAGAGGGGAAACAAATAAGGGGTCCAGAGAATAGCCCTTAAGCATTAAGTCCCCAGGACGAGGTTCTGATCCACATCATATAATCTAGGCCTCAGTTGTGTTTCAGCTCCAGGCCCAGAAAAACAGCACGGCTGATATCAGGACCAGCTGTATTGACTAATGACCCCCTGCCCTGACCAGTCAGTGGAGACCATAAACCTGAAAGGACACAGCTGGAAAGCTGATGACTATCCTATTGAGATCCTCCCCTGGAACCTCCCCTATAATCCCACCCTAAAAGCCCTTAGGACAGAGGGCCTGGTGTGCTCTTTTTCCCAGGCACATCAGCACCTTTTCTTTTCCCCTCCCCCTCTTCTTTCACACCAGGCAAGTTTTCCTTGACTCTCTCCTCCTAACCTCCAACAGCCCTTCTTTTGCTTCTGTAACTTGTTTCCTGAACCCATTTCTTCTATGGCTCACTTCTTCTACCTCTGTGACTTTCTAAATAAACTTTGTCTTACAGTTTGAGTCTTGGCTCTGAATTCTTTCCTAGCCAAAACTCAAGTACTGAGGTTGCTAAACCAACGTCTGGTCTGACACCACCGGTTTGACACCTGGTGCCGTTCTTGCTGCTGCCAACAATATTCAGTTAGTTCCTCAGAGCATAAGTTCAAAACACCCACTTTCCACTTCCTGAGTAGTGTTACCCAAGCCTTTTATTAAATGAGGGAGAGTAGATAACCTTTCTGAAAGACATGTACACAATCAACTTAGGCCCAAAAGAAGGACCCTGGCTTGAGATCAGCACATCATTTCTTTCAGTAGTGTTAGTCCTCAGGAAGGAGGCTCATGAATGTGTTGTAGGACCTGGGTGAACTGATATTAATCTTCCTCCCACTGAAAGTTTTCCCAAGTTTTTTTTCAACCCTTGAATTTCTTTTTTATTTTTATTCCTTAATTTTTAAGTGGTCTTCAATGTTTCAGAAACATCTGGTTGAAAAGACTATTTGCTTGGCTTTTTCCTCTTTTGGGTTTAGAAACCCCATGTTATATGGTTTCCTGAACATGGACCAGAAGCAGAAGAGGTGCCTTTCCTGACTCCCAGAAATATCCCATACCACACATGTTTTAATGGCTATAGGCAAACTTGGGGGGGAGGGTTGCTGAAAGGGCTTTCTAGAACCATAGAGTGAACACTTTCTGCATCTTCTAGAGTTGATCCCAGCTACATGCACACACTGTGCCCAAATAAATAGAGACAGAATGGGAAGGAACCCAAGACAGGGGACCCAGATTCCAATTCCAACTTTGATAGTAACTAACTGCAGAACCTCAAGCAAGGTCCTCCTGGGCCTCTGTTTCATCAGCTGTAAAATGAGCAGGTTGGTGTAAATCAGAGGTTCTCCTGGCCTGGGGACTTTGGAGTTTCAGGTGATTTCATGAAGGGGTCTATAATGTCTGTGATGTCTGACATTGAAAAGTGACATCTGTCCCACAGATCGGTACTATTTTTCAAATGTCACTGTTGGATTAACAAAAATAATTTGATTAACAACTTTTCCAGTGTATTAGGGAGCTTGGTAAAGCAGATCTTAACTTTCATTTTTAGCCAGAGAAGCTCATAGTTGTGTCTAAGAGGACACAGCCAGGCACATTGGAGCAGCTCTTCTTTCTTTAGGAGCCTCTTTAGTGTCTCCCACAGTTAAGGAAATGTAAGATGAGCAGACACTCACTGTCCCAGAAAAGAGAGCAACAGACCTTCAGATAAAGAGCTGCTTGCTACAGCAGTGAATGTGCTCAAAGGTCAAGAAACTTTGAAAATGAAAGTTGGATTAGTTTATGACCTCTTCCTGTCCAGAATCTGTTATCAGTACTTCCCTCATAGGTGAGACAGTCTCTTCTGAGGTCTGCTCTTAGAAAAGGACAGCAAGTGTCCCCAAGGTGGACTCCTAAGGTAAGAAAAGGATTCAGCAGCCACAAGGTTTCATGTGCTTTCATAAGGGATGAAGGCTTTTTGGAGGGTGGGGAGGGGGTTGTGACAGCATTAGATCTTTGCGTATTTAAAACTATTGAGAATATGACTGAAACACATTCCTTTCTTCAAAGCGAACCTTTACCCTCACCCTATAGTGATGCGTGTTTCCAAGTTCAATCAGAAGCTGCTTACATGAGAAAAATAATGCAAGCACTGCCTCCTATAGATGTGGGGGGAAAGTCTCTGTGCATCAGCTTCCTCGGTGGAAAAATGGGGATAATAACAGTGCCTACCTTTTAGGCTTGCAAGGATTAAATGATTAAATGATTTATTGATGTTGACCACGTATGACAATGCCTCGTATACAGTAATAATACTTCATTATGTGAGGATGATGGTGGTCTGTAAAAGTTATTTATTCAAGACTAGGATATGAAATAGTATCAAAAGGAAAAAGAAAGTACATTGCCACCTCAAAACTCCAACCACTGACCATGTTCTGTGTGTCAGTTAGGGCTGCTCAAAAATATTTTGGTTCATCTTCTTTCAAGTGTATGTTAGGTCTGCACTTCGCCCAACTGTTTTGAAATTAGACATGACCAATGTCACTTGTTACCACAGCATCCTAATAAATACACTAATATGTATTTTTGCTATTATTTGCATCATCATTATAATTTTAGACACTTAGTATGTGTGTTTAGAAGATTTCTAAAAACAGCCATAAATTAGCATACACTTGTATGTATTGTATTTGATCTTAAAGAGATAATTATACTTTTAGCCCTTGTTCAAGTTTCCATATTTTTTAACATACCATTCTGTTACTTAAAAAAGCATCTGTGTGTGTATGTGTGTGTGTGCGCCTAGGAGGAAGAAGAAGAAGATGTTCTGAAAGTGGAATGTGTTTTTCACTGACTTAAAGACTACCCTGAACTCACTAGAGTTTCTAAAGCCTTTTACATTTGCCCTACTTGGTTTGGGCAGAGAGCCCAGATACTACATCATTTTTTAAGTTCTAAGTGAGCCAAAAAATCTACCCATCCACATGTAATTACTTCAGTTGTGCAACTTATTACTATCTTTGTTGGCAACAGACAAATGAGACCCTTTCACTTGGATCAAACAAAATTTCATCCCTGGGCAGGGAGTTCAATTGATTCATACAATGCTTAATGACGGGGATGTGTTCTGAGAAATGCTTCTTCAGGTGATTTCATTGTTGTGTGAGCATCACAGAGTGCACTTGCACAAAGCCAGATGGTATAGCCTACTGCGCACCTAGGCTGTATGGGATAGCCTATGGCTCCTAGGCTACATGTCACTGTACAAAACAGCATGAGATTAGACCCAGCACAAGCGAAAAAGATGCAATCAAGGGACTTTGTAAACGAGATGTATGAGGCTGCTTGATGCCTGTGTGACATGGGATACTGTTTTACAAAACAACTTTTTTATAAGTAGAAAGAGTGCACTCTAATGACAAAAGTATAGTATAGTAAACACATAAGCCAGTAACATATTATTTATTATCATTATCAAGCATTATGGGCTACACATAATTGTATGTGTTATACTTTTATATGACTGGCAGCTCAGTAGGTTTGTTTACACCAGCATCACCACAAACATGTGAGCAATGAGTTGCCCTACAGCATTATGACATCATTAGGCATTAGGAATTTTTCAGCTCCATTATAATCTTATAAGGCCACCGTTGTATATTTGGTCACTGGTTGACCAGAACGTCGTTAGACAGCACATGACTTTATTATAAGTGATTGCAAGTTTGTTTCTTTGTATTTTTAAAGATCTCAAATAGAAGAGTGGAACCATTATCTGGACCTATTAAAAGACGATTCAAGTAAATATTGACAAGGGGGGAAAACCCCTCAGGTTTAAAGCTCTACTTGTTTCTCTTTTGAACACCCTTTACCTGCCCATGACCTCTGATGAGGTTCCATTTCCTTGGACTGTCTTCGCACAGGACTGGAGAGTACTCTTCTTGTTTCCCAGATGGGGCAGCAATAAATCTCCTGACATGGCAGGATCTCACAGAAAGTGATTTCTGGGATTTGGGCCGAGGATTGTGTGGTTGCCAGAGATGTATTAGGTGCTGCATGGCATTGGGCAGAGGGGAAAGAAGCGACAAGGTTAACCTGACAGGCTAGTTCTGTTGACAATTCCCACAAAACACAGGCTGGTTTGAGAGTGAGGAATGTGAAGATCTTACCGGAGGAAGAGGAGGCTGTGGGCGGCAGGGCAGGCTGCTGAGAGCCTGCGATGTTGCTGGAAAAGGGTAGATAATGAGATGATTCATGAAAAAGGCCTTCAAGGGTCCATCTCCCCAAAAGAAAACAAGCCTGGAACTCTCACCTTGGAGGGAGATTTGGGGCATGTCGGTCTTGATCTTTTAAGCTAAGTATGTAAAGGGAGACTATTGTCAAGGCACTGTGTAAAAAAATAAAAGAAAGAAAGTGTTAGGTGGCAGATTTGATTCCAGATATATCTCACATAACCAGCTGGCCAGAGATGTACTCTCACAGGCCACACAGATGGGAGGGGCGGGGGAGGGGAGCCACGGTCCACAGAGCACCATGGAAACCAGCACAGTTAGGCTTCTTTGCCCCGGAGAGAAAAGCCCTCATCCTCCTGGAGCTCAGAGGCTCCTGGGGCAGTCCACGCAGGTGGAGTTTTCCATAGAGCAGCCCCCTGGCCCTGGCAGGCTGTCTCAGAATCATGTCACTAGTGGAAGATTACAAGAGGAAGCGTGTAAAAGGCTGGAGGCAGCCCTTTGCTCCTTGCAGGAAAAAGTCAGAGCCAAGCTCACATCCACTGGTGGAGGGCGTCCACACTGTGGTGTCGGGGGGTGAAAGGAGGCACAGGTTTAGTCCGTTGTGGATGCCAAGCCCTTTGGCCACTGCTGACACCTTCCAGCTGCCTGTCTTTTCAGAGCACAAAACACCAAATCAGACAGAGGAAGGAAAGAAGTGCAATAAAGCACCCATTTCCACACTCCATGGCTTTAAAATAATGAGTCTGTCTTTTCCCCCGGCGATCAGAACTTACACAGTCAATGGAAACTTTCCTTAAAGGTTCTGAGCTTTGGGAAGCTATTCATTCCCAACAATGAGCATGTCCAAACACTAAGCATTCTCCTTTTGGGGGGCCTAGAACTCTCTCACGAGCCACACAAGAAAGTCTGCTTGGCGACCTTACAAGCCCACTGTGCGCTGAGCCTGACCCAGGGTGACCAAGCTTGATTTCCTCTCAGTTTGACTTCACAACTGATTCTGCAGACTCAACTCCGCATTATTTTGTTCCCCATCAAAGGTGGTTTGAAATCCACTCATAAAGAACTCCCAGAGCGTTCTCAGCAGCTGCTGGTTACAGCCCAGCAGGCACAGCCCTGCCTGGAAAGTGGCTCTGAGTCCACAGCCACCTCCAGGTGGCATCGGTTGTGTGGCTCTGGCGACTGCTTGCTGTGGTCTCCCTTACTCTGTTCCCCCACAGTCCCCTTTTGCTATCTCCTTGCTACTAACCCTAACTATTCTTTCTGGTTTGTCTCTGACACTGACATCTATCTGCTCCAATGCACAGTCCAGAGAATTCTGGAATAATAGAATAACATGGCTATGTGCTTCTTCCCCTGGGGCAAGCTCTGGTTTTGACCCTTCTTAGCCAGATGGCAGGTCAAAAACTGATACTAAGCCTAATTTTTCCCATTTATGGTCTTAGTGGTCAACAATAGTGGAATTCATAAGATCTAATGAACACATTTCTTTATGTCAGATTTAGACTTCCCATAACCTTATTGGTTTTTCGTGGGAATATGTGAATCTAGAGAATGCTGGGTGTGTCTGTAGCGGTAGATGCTCACGCTCTCCTGAGCTGGGAATCCCAGCAGAAGACAAGCTCACTTAGGAGAGTGAGAAAAGTTAAATGACTTCTAATGGGAATTCTGTGTCAAATACTTGGGGATGCCTCCTGCAGTGGGCAGGAGCAAGTGAGAAGTTAAAATAGAAAGGGGAGACAGGCAGACAGAGGCCCCCCCTGTCTTCTCTAACAGGAAGATGCTTTAGACAAAGGGAGTGGAGGCACCCTGGCACCAGCCCTTACTTCCCTCTGAGAATGACTGTCTCTCCTGAGATGAGCCCAGAAGCTGGTCCTTTCCCTCACTTTTTCAAGAGATAGATAAATATCCCTTTTGCCATGTGAATAGATTAAAAACAAGAAGCACTGGAAGACAGAGGCAAATGGCCAGGGCTCAAAGGCTGAGGGGCCATCACAGCAGCAGCAGAAGCGTGAAGACCAGAGGTCAGAAGACTCCTGCATCCCTACAGGGGCGACTCCACGTCCCTGCACAGGAGGATGGCAGTCAAAGGGAACCCAGTTCTTGCATAGCAAATACTTTTGTCCTTATTGTATTTTTTTGCTTTAACTACTAATAAATTGTATATCTTGAGATAATTTCACAGCCCCTTTGGTATGAAGTCTGCATGGAAGAATCTAGAAGAATCCTAGTAAGTATAAATGTCCAGGGGAGAGTGGGTTGTACCTAATTGCTTAATCACTCTTTTCTCCCATGAAGACCAAAGAATTTGAGAAAGTTATTTGCAAGACTAAAAAAGATACACACACAGGCACACACACACACACATGAAAATCACAGTAAGCTGTTAAAAAATACCGGTTGCCTGAAAAAGATCATCCTTCATCACACATTTAAGTGCAGAAAGCCTGTGTTTCTTTTCTTCCTAGTTTGAGCTTATGAAGGGCTCCCTCATCCCTAAATTCAATCCAAGGTCAATGCCCACTTTAAATGGCTCCTTGTCTTCAAAGTAAATAAAAGGTCATATATGACAAGAGGAAGATGAAAAGAAAAGGAGCTCCTAGAGCATAACATTGAAGTTTTTCTTACCAAAATGTCATCACAGCAATGAGAGTTATAACCAAGGTCTGGAAAACCCAGTTAGGACACCACTGTTTTTTTCCTGAAAAATAAACCTATAAAAAGATTCAGTACTGAGCAGTGATAAAGAGGCAAAGTGGACTGCAGGAAGGATGCTTGAAGGCTCACTCCCAGTGGGGATCTTTGCTGCTCCCTTGGGGTGCTTAGGGTGCTCCCTTCCTCCTACATCTCCCTCTTCCTCTCTGCATCCCTGAAAACAAAGCTTTCTCAAAACCCACCTCAATTCCCTCCTTTTCCCTGACACTCCAGGCTACGGGGGTCTCTGTTTCCCCTGGCATCCTGCAGATGATCGTCCATACCATTCATTTAGTGCTTATTCTTAAAGTTTTATGAGAGCAGAGGGCTGTCAGAGCCCAAATGTCCACCCCTTTTAATAGAATGCTTTTCAAAATTGAAAAGTTTTTAAGACATGATAGAGTAAATCCCAGTGGAAGAATTTCAGGCATCATGACAAACTGTGGGAAAGATTTTTGTGGCATGAAATATTACTAAGCACTCCTCAAATCTTACACATCTGTATCTAATTCCACCACCTATTTTTAAGGACAGTTCTGGGCCTGTGTTTTATTTATCCATTCAACAAATATTCATAAAGCACTAAGATGTACAACATGACAAGGGATATGAAAATGAGTAAGTTACAGTCTCTAGGAAGTGAAGGAGACAAAGCTAAAGGACTGATACATATTTGGCATGAAAATTTGCATATGGGGAATGGATCAAGAACTGCAGGCTCAACAGCTGTGCACTTGCTTTGAAATCTGGCCAAATATATAGGAGAGGTGTTCTGTCCCCTTAAATAAGGTGCTCCTTAGATATGAGTGTTCCTACTAATGTAATGGAGAGTGTTATGCTTTCTTGCTCCTGGGGGTACAGGATGGAATTATGCTTTTGATCAGAAGGAAACTGAAGGAAGGTGGTAGTTAAGAAAAAGCTTAAAATTGGTCTTTTTAAAAAATTTCTTGAATAATGGTGAACACATATACAGCCCTTATTATGTGCCATAAACTCTTCTGAGTACTTTACACAAACTGTTTTTTAATCTTCACAATAACCCTCAACAATCCTCTGAGGCAGATACTGTTATTCCCATTTTAGAGGTGAGGAAAATGAGGCCCAGGAAAGTTAGGTTCCTCACCCAAGGTCACGTAGCTAGTAAGTCACAAAGCCAGGATATGAACCAAAAAACATTTGGCTCCAGAATCTGCGCTCTTAGCCACAATGCTATGCTGCCTCCCTTTCTCTGCCCGTAAAAGGAGGAAATACCCTACAACTTAGATATGAATTATTATTTAAAAGGTCCTCACGGCTTACCAAATGAACTCCTTAACCTGGTGATCCAGAAACTGAGTCTAACCTGTATTTTCAGCCTTATCTTCTAGTTTCCTCCCTAACCAACTCCCACCTAATCCTTCAATGAAGCCAACGCCTGCTCCCAGACCTTTGCTCATACCATTCCACCTGCAGCCTCCCTACAGCTGCTGTCAGTCTAGCCAACGCTTATTCTTCCTTGAAGGTCCAGCTCCCATAATACTCCTGCAGGACTCTGAGATTCTGCAATATTTATCACATTGGGGTACAACTATTCTTTGCCTTTTCTTCTGATCTTTTTCTTCCCTGACTACCCTGAAATTCTTTAGTTGAAGAGGCCATGTCTCACCTGTATCTGCCTTCCACGGGCCTAGGACATTGACTGCAAGAGGTCTCCAAGTTGAATGGGTGCTCTTTAATGCCTATGTCACTTCCTGACTCTGTGTCCACATCCCAACCCCCCACCTCACCCACACACCCAAGACTCTTAATGCTTTTAATTTAGATTGTGAGACTTCCAGGAATATTTTCAGACTGAGCTCTCCATTCACGCATTCATTTGACAAGTATTACTTGAGAACCTACTATGTGCCAGACCTTGAAACATAGCATAGGAAAGCAGACATGGGGACTGCTTTCATGCACCATATATCTTAGTTAATATTCTGAGATAAATGCAAAATAAAGAGATTTTTGGGGTGCAAGGTGCAAGCTATAGAGGTTGCACAGGACCAAATTGCACCTATTAAGAGTCACTATAGATACAGATACAAACCCCCCTATCCCATTACAAACTGGTTGGTACAAAGGGCACCTTCCCTACATAATATTTTTAATGTTTTGTTGATTGAGCAGCCTGCTATATACTGGGCACTGTGCTAAGGGCTTTAGCTCATTTAATCCTATAGAAAATCTTTGTAAGGTATCATACTATTATTATCTCTATTTTCTAATGCAATTAAGTAACTTGCCCAAAAATACGTTTACATATGTATTTACCCATGTATTTATGTCTATTGGTAAACCAAGAAGCTTGTCAGCAATATAAAACATTGTAGTAATTTTTAGTAGGATATTAAACTCTTTCTGAATCCTTTTAGAACAGTTCAGTGTAGCATAACATGAGAAGTAGAGAGAAAACTAAGGCAATGGCCCTAACATCAGGTCATCCCTTACCAGTACAAGGTCATGAATACCTCCTGCAGAAGGACCAGCTTTGGAGCACTGGTGGATCAGAGGGAGCAAGCTGAATTTCACAGCTGTCTATGAACTGCAGCTAGAAAGGGGGTATTGCAGCTTCTCCCTCCCTGACACTTCTCTGCAGCAGTGTCCTTTAAGTTAATAAGTGATTAACCTTCACGTTTTACTGTAAATGCTATCCTATTGGATGAAAGTTCTCTATTCGTTAGTAAAGCCATCACATTTTAACCTTCTCAAGCAAGTGAATACCTACTCTCTATATACACATATAGTACTAAATATCAGAGGGAGAAGAGGGATTAGCTGACATTCCTTCAGGATCTTCTGAAGTCAAAGATAAGGGACTATGTGGAGTGAAGGCACCCACGCTGATCTTACAGTCCAGGGCCATATGCAGGTGGGGGGCAGCAAATTTCTCCTGATGGGGACACTAGAAATAAAAACTGGTGGAATAATATTTCTGAAATGAACATGTTTTGTACTCATTTCTCCAAACCTCTCTTTGAAAAACCAGATAATATCTATTTAAAAGTAAGTATTTAAATACCTAAATACATAAGGGTGCAAACTAAGGAACTCATCAACAAATAAATAAAGAAAAAAATCTTGATCAATTTCTCTAAAGACTTCTTTTTGTATAGAAAAAATATTATCTCTGTTCATTTTAAGTGTAAGTTTATTTACCTTGTTGGTTTTTTGGGGAATGGTCCTTCTTGAAAGAGTACTAACAGCTCTGCTAAATTTGCTTTAAAAAGAAAGAGAGAGAATTAATTACTCTTCAAATGCCTCTCCAGGAGTTATATGACAAAGGCCCAGGCTGTCGCTAACACAGCAGTATTACTTTTTTTTTATAATACAGTGGTGATTTAAAAAAGGGAAAGTCAAGGCAATTGAGAGTTCCTTCTGCGGGAAAGGACCTTAGTAAGCATAAATGAATGCATTTCATTTCTCTTTCTCTCAAAATTATACCCCAGGAATTGTGCCTTTACCTCCTTAAATAATAAAAGTAAATAAATAAAATATTTTCCCCTGAGGACAAAACATGGTTTTCTAAATTTAGAAATCACCACCTGCCTAGTTAAAGGAGAAGCTACCCTTTTAAAATGTATCACTTTTTGTAACAACTGCTCTTAAACAGATGTGATGTTTTGTCTCATTTTTAAAGCTGCAACAGAAAAAATAAGAAAATGATCATATAAGGCAATTGTGTTCCAAAACATTCTAAAAGAAATATAGGGACTTAACTATAAGAAAACCAATGGCTGTTGCTTGACCTAGTTATGGAAAGGCCCCACTCTTTCTCCAGATCCCTGTGGCCATCCCGGATGTACCTGATCGAGCTTGCTTCGCTGGCTGAGGACTTCCAGCTACTGAGCCGCTTTAGCCTGGCCAGCTTTCGGTTCCATATTTCTAACTCTTCTATTCTTTCCTCCAGGTTGTTGGTTAGTTTGCAGAGTTGCTTCACAGCACCTACATTTTCCATAAAGATCTGGTCCTGAAAATGAAAATAATCCAGAGTGCATAAATTAATAAAATCGAGGCCACCAGAGAACTGTCCATTGCCCGAAGACATTGGAATACACCACTGAAAATGGTTATGCACAACCCCGAGTTCATTCAAGGTAAGTCTGGAGAGCTTTGCTGCTTAAAGTGGTCCTGCTAAACGGCTGGCTGCGTAGTAAAACTGCTTATGTTCAATTTTCAATAAAATGGAAGTATGTCCTTGTAACCCAAGAGAGAGAAAGGAGCTGAAGGACATTGTCAAGTTTGGAACCTGAAGAATTATTTTCAATGGCCATCACGCTATATTTAAAACTCATAAAAAGCAAGAGCAGGCTCCTGAATGTTGACTTGTGTCTGCATCACTAAATCTTCATAAGAAATGACTTCGGTTCTTCCTGGAAAAATGTGCATCAAATTGTTCAGGCGAAGGAGGGAAGAATGGAGACCTAGGCTTTTCTCTGAGTCCTGCCACTTACTAAATGTGACACCCAGATAAAACATAACCTCTCTGAGCTTCAGTTTATTCATCTATAAAGGAGAGGAAAATTTTTTTTTTTTTACTATATCTTTTATTGATTTCAGAGAGAGGAAGGAAGAGAGAGAGAGAGAGCTAGAAACATCAATGATGAGAGTGTCATCAATGATCGGCTGCCTCCTGCACCCCCCTGACAGGGGATTGAGCCCGCAACCCGGGCATGTGCCCTGACTGGGAATCGAACTGTGATCTCCTAAATCCTAGGTCGATGCTCAACTGCTGAGCCACCAGCGGCCGGGTGGAGAGGAAAATTCTTGAGGTGTTCATTTCTGCTTTGACATCTCATGAGCTATCATGTATATTTGAGCCTAACTCCCAAAACAAAATTTAAAACAACAGCAATACTTAATTCTTTAGGTTCAGAGAAAGAACAAGAAAGGGGAAATCAGCCAAAGCCAGAGCACAAAAGCCACACACTTCAGTTGTCCTAGGAACATATGTGTCCGTCAGTCATAACAAAAACCCTGGAAAGCTCTCATCAACTCACACACGCCCTGATCCCATGACCTCTCATCCTTTCCCCCCTCTGCGTACACGTTCGGAACGCCACAGCACGCTTCGGGGCTCTGAGCGACTGGTCCACTATTGTAAAGTAATGAGCTAGAGGCCAAATGAGAAGGACCATTTTGTGGTTAGGGGATCCCACTCAAAGGGGTGTGTCTTTGAGATTCCCATCATGCAAACCACAGTTTTAAGGGTTTCAAACGCTGTAAAGCAACCACTCAGAAAGGATTCAAACCTGAACATAATGGATTTAAGGCTTAGTTCCTGCCATTTAAAGACATGGACACTGCTATAGAACAGACAGGCAAAGATAGGTATATAGGCGATGCTAGAATACTCTACTACTGTCATATGATGGTATATAAATCACTTGACTCAAACATAAAGGTTAAAGGACATAAGTATTAAAATTACCTACAGATACAATAATTTGCTAATGGTATACACATTAAAAGAGGTATATTATAATATCAAAAACATAAAATGTGGAAGGAGAGTAAATGGGTAGAGGTTTTGTATGTGATCCAAGTGAAGTTGCTATCTGCAAAAAATAGGCTGTTATATCTAGAAGGTATTTCATGTAAGCCTGGTGTAAGCACAAAGCAAAAACTTATAGTAGATATAAAAAAGATAAAGCAGAGAATCAAAGCCTACTGCTACAGAAAATCATCAACTCACAAAGGAAGGCGGCAAAAGAGGGAGAAGCGAACAGCCAGGAAACGATATGATGGCACCAGTAAGTCCTTACCTATTAATAAGTGCCTTAAACGAAAATGGATTGAATTCTCTAGTCAAAAGGCAGAGGGTGTCTGAATAGATTAAAAACAAAACCACAAAACAGGGCCAAACTATATGCTGCTTACAAGAGACTCGAGTCTGCCGTAAGGACACACATAGGCTCAAAGTGAAAGGGTGGGAAAGGATTCTAACGGAAACCCAAAGGGAGAGCGGACAGCTATACTCATAGCAGATAAAATGGAATTTAAGTAAAAAACTAACAAGAGACAAAGAAGGTCATTATATAATGATAACGGGGTCAATTCATCAAGAGGACATTACAGTTGTAAATATATATGCACCCAAATTCAGTTTGAGATGAATAAGTTCTGGGGATCTAATATACAGCAAGGTGACTAGTGAACAATACTGTGTGTATCCTTGGTCATTGCTAAGAGAGTTGTAGGGGAGCAGGATTTTGCCACCCCGAAATATGCCTCATTGGCATGAGGGTTATTTTAGGCTGACTATTTTTAAGAAACAAAAGACTCAGGAAGAGCCTTTTACCTCCCCCTTAACTGCCTGAAATAACTGAGATAGCGGACCGGTTTCAGGAAGACAGCTATCACCACAGATTACTAGAAGAATACAATCCAGGTGTGGTCGACTAGGGGGTGGGGCGGGGTGGGGGACCTGAACTCAGCGAGGCCTGCTTGTTGAAAGCCCTCTCTGTCTCCACTTGGCATAGCACACATTTGTTTATCAAACGCTTGTGTTTTCATCTTCATGTAAATTGCCTTCCTCCCCTTTGAAGTCCCAGACTTCTGCCCCTTCTCCTTAGCTCTGGGCGGCATACAAGCCTCAACTGCCTGACCCTCTCTGGGCCCTCATATTCTTATGGAGCCCCCATTTGTACAAAATTAAACTTGGCTTTTCCTCCTGTTATCTGTCCATGTCAATTTAATTCTTAAACCAGACATAAGAATCTGTAAGGATAGAGGAGACACTTTTCCTCCCCAACAGAGGAAATCTTAAATGTTCTCACCACAAACAAAATAGGTGATTATATGCAGCAATGGGCGTGTTAACCAACCTTACTACAGTCATCATTTTGCAAAATATATGTGTATTGAGTAATTATGTTGTATACCATAAATAGTGTTATATGTTAATAATTTCTCAATTCAGTTGTGAGGGAGGATACTTTATTTAAATAAAATAAGATTGGACATGAATGGATAACTGAAATGAGTGAAGGATATACATAGGTTTTATCACTATTCTATTCTGCATATGTTTGAAATTTTTCATCAAAAATGTGAAAAATAAAATAAATAAATCACAAAACACTAACACATCAAAAAAATCTCCTGACAAAAGCTCTTTTAAAAGTTCTAATTCTGGTATAGATGTTCTTTTACTTCTAAATTTGTTTTAATAAATATAAGGCAGAAATCATGGAGATAAAAATAACATTTTATGGTTCTAAACGATAGTAAATGTCATTTGACTATTTACTATGTTTATATCACAGAAAACTTCATGCTGTAATTATAACTGTATTATTTAGTGGGTCAGATGGCCAGCTGATGTCCACCCAGCATCTACACCGAATCAGGTTGGCAGCCATGGCCCCCCACAGGCAGCCCGTCGGGCAGTGCTGCCAGCTCAGCGGCCTAAAGCTCCTGAGTCTGCCCACTCCTCTGCGTCCTCACTGGCACTACCATACCTAATATACATATTTTTTATTTTTCTTGGCAAGTGGTTTCTTCTTTTTATAAAAAATGTTTCCTTGATATGTTAATTTGTGATTTAGCCCCAACTGAAGCTGACCACAGAGAAGGCTGCTGAAGTCCCTTCTAAGCCACAGGGCGCTCTTTCTGCAATGTCTCCCCAGCAGGACTTTTAAAGCTGCCTCACGAGATAAGAGCAATGGCTGCATTGTCTGGTTACTTGTCAATAATGATAAAAAGCCAGCTCCTATTTCTCCAATTCAAATTTGCCAGCACCATACATCTTTCAGGTAGGTCCACTAGGCCAGAAACCAATTCATATGCTTCCCTATTTAAGAGGAAATAAAGGTGGAGAGGGAACTTACTTGTACCTTCCTAATTACAATTAAGGCCCTGACTTTAGGGATCCAGTGATAAATTACCAAAAATTAAATTCCTACAACATGATATGGGGACTGGCTCTTACTAAAATACTATAACTGCTGTCCTCTGTGATCACGGTAAAGCCAGTACAGGGGTGGGCAAAAGTAGACTTACAGTTGCAAGGATGTGAAACAGAGTTTATTCTTCTATTATTATTTATTAATTTTTGTATTATTTGTATTACAACTGTAAATCTACTTTTGCCCACCCCTTCATAAAAATGTTCAAAACTTAACCTAGAATTTTCTGAAATTGTTCTTTTCTATGCAAGCGAATGGTCTTTATGAGTTCATTTTCACCACAAATGTGCACCTAGATGCCTGAGGGACTTTTCCTAAATGCACACACCCAGGTGCCATGTAGAGGCTTGTTTGTATTCGTTAAGACTGAGATGGGCATAAGGCTGGGACAAGTTGAAAAGCTTTCCCAACTGATGCCCATTGTTGGTTAAAAACTATTTTATAACTGAACCTAATTTAATTACTCAACTCTGTCTCGTTATTATGGAACATTTTATTTTATTTATTTTATCATAAAGATTTTTTTTCAGAGAGAAAGAAAGGGAGAGGGAGAAGGAAAGAGACAAGATCAATGTGAGAGTGAAACATCAATTGGCTGCCTCCGGCACACTCCCAACCAGGGTATGGAGGCTGCAACCCAGGCATGTGCCCTGACTGGGAATTGAACCTGCAATCTTTCGGTGCTGGGGACAACACCCAACCAACTGAGCCACACTGGCCAGGGCATTATTGACGATTTTAAATGGTACCAACTACCCCAGCTGTGATGCAAAAATGATGAAACCGGCTTGCCACCAAAATTGCTCATGAGACTTTGGGGGGCAAGTAGCAATTGCTTCAAATCACATAAGAATGTTCCACCCACAGTTTAAGACTTGCTTTGGGGTGAAGGCACATACCAACAGCGTGAGCATATTTTCTGAAAGGACGAGTAGGGCAGGTTGGCAAGGACATGTGCACAGGTAAACAACAGGAGGCATCTGTGAAATCAGAGCTGTTACCTAGTCAGAGTGGGTCTCTTATTTAAGTTTTGTCTTTCACCATCGCCCCTTCACACTCT